TCTATTTAAAACTTTTGATTCTTTATTTCCTGAGTGTGCAAACTATTTAGCAACAATGTATAAAAATAAGGACTCTCATACACTTCTTACCAGAGTGTAAATTGGTAAAACTCTTGAAGGCAATTTAGCAATAAATTTCAGAAATCCTAAAGAGGGTACATATCCAGTGACACAATAGTTCTATTTCTAGGACTTTATTATAAGATAATAATTGAATATGATTTGAAAATTACTGTACGTTAGAAATTAATTTGTAGCATTATTTAAATATCTGAAAACTGGAAAATGAGCTAAATATTTAATTAGTATAGAAGTTGGTTAAAGAATTTCTATAGCCCTGGCTGGCTTGGCTCAGTGGATTGAAGGGTCACGGGTTTGATTCCAGTCAAGGGAATATGCCTGGGTTGCAGGCTCGATCCCTGGTGGTGGTGGTGGTGGAGGGGGGGGGGGGGGGTGCGGGAGGCAGCCAATCAATGATTCTCTCTTATCACTGAGATTTCTCTCTCTCTCTCCCTCTCCCATCCTCTCTGAAATCAATAAAAATATATTTTAAAAAAAAGAATTTCTATACATTCATCCCTATAATGGAATAATATATAGCCATTAAAATTGACAGACTAGATGTTTATTGACATATGTCGTAGGTTGTATTTTTGGCCCAGATTCTACACCCCGCTCTATGTCCAGGCTGTTTACCATGTAACTTTGCAGTGCTCTTCCATTGTGGGCAGGATGGAAGTCTCCACCCCGGGCTCAGCCACGTGATGCAACCAGAAACGTAAGAAATGCATGCCTGACTGGGCTTGCTCACAGCTGTGACTCTGCTATCACTATGGCAAGAACATACCTACTTTCAACAATAAAGAAATTTTTTTTTAAAAAAGAACAAAGCTAAATTAGTCCCCTGGAAGATGACAGACATGTGGAGAAGAGTTTAGTCTAGTTTAACCAACTATAGCTAACTACTGACGCAGGAATGAGCCCTGATTAAACCAACAAACTGCCTAGCCACGTCCAACCCAGATTAGCTGACCCATGTGGACTTACAGATATAGAAGCTACTGCTTGTTGTTGTTTTAAGCCACTGAGATTTGAAGTGGTTTGCTGAATAACATTTTTGTGGTGATAGTTAATAGATACAATATTTAAAAGTTTGAAAGAAAAATGGAGGGGAAAAATATGGAGCTATATACCCCAAAGCTAACAGACTTCCAGTTAAAAATGGTAGATTGGTCACATGTGTATCATCTCTCTCTCCTAAAACTTCACTTAAAATGACAATAAAGGAATAAAACTAGTCTTAAACCACAAACAACAGGAGAGGAGATCATAGCAAAATAAAATGTAATAAACAGTAGAAACAAAGCAGGTAGAAGAAGGACAAATGACTGAGCAATATGAAAGAAATTACAATTCAGGGATCTCAGAGAGGAATACCAATAAAAATAAAGCCAACTCATCTCACAGAACTTCTGAGAAATTCATCACCTTGAAGGCATCAGATACTATGGAAGGTGGGGTAAGGTACAGAGATGAAAATCAAGCAGAAAGTTTGTATACAGATCAGGCAGAACCCCAGGTCTCACCTCAACTATGTGCATTCTAACTTCCAACTTTCTACTCCATCCAGAGACTACAGTTTTGGAGAATATTAACTGAAGAGGCATAGTTTAGGGTGTACTAAGCACAGTAATGGTCTGAGGAGAAGTGTGGGCTAAAGAGAAATGAGATTACATAAAATCTATACATTGTAATCTGCCACCTCCTCTGTTCTTACTCTCACAACTTCAATAGTTGGTCACATGAACCCCCCACCCCCATCCCACTGCAACTCCAACTCTGTTACTGTTGGGCAGGAAACTGGAAAATTCCTCTCTGGAAACAGTAAATAGTTTCAGAGAAAAAGAAAACTTATAAATGATGACATTAGGGGTACTTCCAACCAAAAGAGTCAGCCCAATACCCAATCTCACTACAGTGAGAATGATCCATTAACAAGTCCTGCCCCTGCAGTCTCAAATCATCTTGTTAGTGCCTCACTCTTAAACATAAACAGACAGTCAAGGATCACCATAAATGAGAGAAAATTCTCCCATATGAAAAACAGAGCCCGAAAGAAACAGGAAAAGAAAGTGGTGGAGGGATGACCAGGAAGACAAAAAGACTATGCTTGGAACAAATGAGAACTAGGGAAAAAAACACCAAAACTCTGATAAGAAAGACTACTGTGGTGATAAAAAAAAAAAAAAAAAAAAATAGGCTACTTCAAAAAATAATTGAGACCAAGGAAAAACTTAAAAATGTAATACAAAATTTAAAAATTCAATAGAGGAGTTGGAAGATAAAAACAAAGAAATATCCCAGAAAAAGGGGAAGTAAAAGAGCTAGAACTATCAATAGAAAATAAAATATGCAAATTAAATCAATCAAGGAAGTCCAATATCTAATAGAACAAATAAGTGGACAGAGAAAACAGAGAGAATTTGAAAAAATAATATAGAAACACCTTCTGGAACTAAAGGACACTAGTCTCTACACTGAAAGGACCTACCAATTGCCTAGTATAATGAATGAAGAAAGACCCATGTCAAGACATAGCATCATGAAATTTCAAAACACTGAGGATAAAAAGAAGTTCCTAAATCTTTCAGAAAAAAAATATAATGGTATCCTACTGCTCAATAACAACCAGGATGCTAGAGGACAGTAAAGCAATGCCTTCAAAATTCTGAAAGAAAAGTTTTTCCAATCTAGAACTGTATACTCTGCCCCAACTATTAATTTGGTGTTGAACTAGAGCAAAAACATTTTTCAGACATAAAATGACTCAAGATATGTATTTAATACACCCTTTCTTAGAAAACTACTCGAGGAACTACTTCAGCAAAACAAAGAGAAAAAAATCAATAAAGGAGAGAAGAAATCCAGGAAATAAGGAATACAATGCAGGAGAATTATAAAGAAAAGTCCCACAATAGCAGTTTTGAATGAGCCCTGGACAACCACCAGGACAGCTTGGGGCAAAATGGAGGATTCGTGAGGGAGGTCTCCAGAAAAATAATAGCACTGATAGACTATTTGAAGTTTTTAAGAATTTTTTAAAACTATTTTTAGGCACTTGACAGATCTAGCGAAGCAATTGGAGGGGGGAAAAAAGAGAGAATTATTGACCACAGGAAACATAGAAGATTGTATAAGAAAGAAAAAGTAATCTTACTTACTATTTTGCCCAGCAGTAAATAATATATATATAGTGTCATAAAATACAGGTACCAATTACTGATTTAATCAAAACTGTGGCATAACTCCTTGAATAAAATGAGGTAAAGGGAAGTGGAGATATTGGTACAAAAAAGCTAAATCTTTATCTTCCATGAGAATGGAATCGATATCTAAAAGTTATAATTCATTAAATAACAATATGAAGTCTTATTTAGAAATATGGAAGTAAATACTAGCAAAAGCCAGAAGCAATGCTGTGAAGAAGCTGAACTACAGGTGAGAAGAGAGAGGCAGAGGGCTGCTATCTCATTATAAGCCATTTAGAAAAAAAATTTCTAATCTTAACAGTAACTCTCTGAATGATAGAATTTTGAGAAAATTTTCAAAGAATAGTTTATTGATTTTTAAAGAGAGAGAGAGAGAAACATCGATATGAGGGTGTAACATCGATCGAACCAGCAACCTTTTGGTGCACATGACAATACTCAACTGAGCTACATAGGCCAGGGCTCAAGATGTTTTGTTTTATTGTTTTAAATATATTTTTATTGATTTCAGAGAGGAAGGGAGAGGGAGAGAGAGATAGAAACATCAATGATGAGGGAGACTCGTTGACTGGCTGCCTCCTGCATGCACCCTACTGGGGATCAAGCCCGGGACCTTTTGGTCCATGGGACGATGCTCAATCCAATGAGCCACCAGAGCCGGGCCAGGGCTCAAGATATTTAAATAAATCTTTATTTTGGCTTAGATGGAAACACTGATGAGAGAAAAACATCAATGGGCGGCCTCCTGCATGTCCCACCTGGGGATTGAGCCCAAAAGCTGGGCATGTTCCCTGATCAGGAATCAAACTGTGACCTCCTAGTTCACAGGTTGACACTCATCCACTGAGCCACACCAGCCAGGCTGTAATTCTTTTTAATATATATTTTTTATTGATTTTTTACAGGGAGGAAGGGAGAGGGATAAAGAGTTAGAAACATCGATGAGAGAGAAACATCAGTTCAGCTGCCTCCTGCACACCCCCTACTGGGGATGTACCCGCAACCAAGGTACATGCCCTTGGCCAGAATTAAACCTGGGACCCTTTAGTCCACAGGCTGACGCTCTATCCACTGAGCCAAACCGGTTAGGGCTGTAATTTTTTTTTTTTTTGTAGTTCTTTTTCTTAATTTAATTTATTGGGGTGACTCCGCTTAATAAAATCATACAGGTTTCAAGTGTACAATTCTGTAACACATCATGTGCATACTGCATTGTGCGCCCACTATTCAAAGTCAAGTCTCTTTCCACCACCATTTATTCTCCTTCTGCCCTCTTCCACCGCCCCCCACCCCTCTTTCCCTCTAGCAATCACCATAATGTCTGTTTCTGTTTTTGTCTTGCTTACTTCCTTCATCTTTTCCACCAAGTTCCCCAACCCTCCTTCCTTCTGACAGCTGTCAGTCTGTTTTAAGTAAGTATGGGTTGTTTGTTAATTTATTTTGTTCTTTAGATTACACATATAAGTGAAATCATATGGTATTTGGCTTTCTCTGACTGGCTTATTTCACTTAGCATAATACCCTCTAGGTCTATTCATGGTGTCCCAAAAGGTAAGATTTCCTTCTTTTTTACAGCTGAGTAGTATTCTATTGTAAATATACCACAGCTTTTTTATCCACTCATACTTGTGTAATTTAAAAACAATTTTTTAAAGTGTTGCATTGTATTTTTTTAAAGCCCACAGTATAAGTGTTACACAAATCAGGGCTTGTACTTTTTGGGTGTCTTACCTTTTATCGTGGTCAAAATGAAGAAAGCAACGAGGGTATTGTTGATGGCACAGGTAGACTTGGCAACACAAGATAAGACCGTGTAGGGATTTAAGAGATAGCTGGGGAAAAGCACACATATTTGGTATTAGTAATCCTGGTCAAAGGACCAGGGAGTCTATGCCACTATATCCAGAAAATTAAAGAGATTTACTAAAAACATACTCAAGGGAAGGCAGCTTCTTAGAAATTAGTTCTCCTAAGTAAAAGAGAATGGAGTGGGATTGAGGCCAATGTGTAAAAGATACTGAATTTTCACTCCTTATTCTGTGCTATGTGGTCTATAGAAAATTGTCTTATTTAATCATTACAGAGATCCTATAAACTAGCAATAACATTATTCCTGTTTCACAGATTAGGAAGCTGAGACTCAGTGATTGATTAACTTGCCCAAGGTTCACAAGCTAATGAATATATTCAAATTAGGTCTCTCCAGTTCTAAAGCCTATATTCTTTCTACTACCTCAGATTTCAAAATGATAAAATTATACCAAATTTCCCCACAATCATATATCTTAGGAATGGCTACATGCATGTCTGAAAACCAAAAAAGCACTTTTTCCTCAGTCAGGTTCCTACACTGTGACGCAGGCTACCCCCATTCAAAAGGTACAGCAGCTTAGATTTAGCCCTCTTGATAGTAAAACAGTATCCACCAGCCAGATCCCAAGGACAAAATAAGTTATCTGCTGACTTCGACAAGCTAGATGCCATAGCACTTCACAGGACACCTGAACTTCCTCTAGGATGGAATTGAGCTGAAACATCTAGTCTTTTTCCTGAGATGAAAAGGAATGGGCTAAGAAAATGAATTTGAAATGTGGTAAGGAAAGCTCATGTAGTCATAATAGATTATTATTTTTATTTATTTCTATCTTGCTTCCACAAAAGATTAGAGGTGACTCAAATAAGAACCAAGAATAAAAAAATAACAGTAAGATAAAAATAGAAATAAAGATACAAGACCAGGGAAAACATTAATAAAAGGAGAAAGTAAAGGCCGGGGAAAGAAGACCCAACTTGTCTTCTACAGCCCTGTAATAATCAGCTTCAAATCTGGCTCTGCGTTTCCTGGCAGACAGTGTGAAAAGGGAGACCAGTTACATAATTCTGATTATCAGATAGGAAGAAACATGCCAGTGTCTCAGGGAGATTATAATTATTATTTACAAATAAAGACCTTAAATCCAATACCTCCCAGGGCTGTAACACTAGCAGTTCTAAAGACAAAGGCCTAGAAATTGTTGGTGTGTTTTTCCCCCAGCAATTACAGATAGGCTTATTACACAACCTTTAAAGAAATGGCTGCTGCTATTACAAAACTACCCTCAGGAGACATATTAGTCCATAAGGGATTCATAATGTTTCTAAACCTCTGGTTCTATTAAATAGTTCCCAGCAATATTTCTGAAGTACATAGATATGAACTGATACCTCAAAACTGGTGGTGGGGGGAACCATTTCTAAATAGAAGGTGATGTTTAAGAAGCAGCTACACAGCCAACTATCTGGACTACTGAACAGGGGATTCACACACAGGCAGAGGGTTGAATAAACTGTCCTCATAAGGCTCCTTCTAATTCTAAAGTTCTAAGGTCATGTTTTTCCATGAGGAAACTTGTCAGACTTGTTTACTGTGTATCCCTAAAACTAGTATATTATTAATATTCAATGACTATTAGTTGGTTGAATGATTATTCACATTTGCCTATCTCAGGAATATAAACAGGAATAACCTGAAAGAATTAAACTTACTGGCAGCACTGAGCACTCCTGGGGCATTCGTTCACAGAGCCTCCGTAAGTTTCACTCTCCCAAACTGGTCACCCATTTTAGGCATCCGGGATGGGTCTGTTTGGAACTGTACTTGTTTTCTGAACTACAAATGGGGGGCTAACTTGTACATGAAGGATAGAAGCTGCTCAAAACAACAACCACATAAAGATCAGAATTTTATTCAATCCATATTATCACAACTGAAGAATGATCTTTTTCTCTTTTTTTTAAAAGAAACAAACAGTGGTTACAAGTAGGCTAGAGCTCAGATGGAGTGAAAAAGCATCTGTGAAGGGTGGATTGTGCATGTTCCTGTATGAAGCTTTGTCCCGACAGAGAAAGAATGGCTCTGTCTCTTGCTGGCCAGAACCCCAGTTGTGCAACAGAACTACAGCAAATACTTGATGACTAAGACTGCGAATCTCCAAAAATACAACAAACAACATGAGAAAGTCTCATCAGATTTTCCTCGCATTTGTTGGCACTGAGCCTGTTTTGTCAGAGAATACTTACAACAGGGCCACTTTCAGAGGGATGTAACGCATTTCCATTGGCGTTCGGATGAGTTCGGCCACATCTGGGGCATACTGGTCTAGTTCAAGGAGGAGTTTCTGCTTTTTAAACTGGAAAAAGTGACAAAACACATGAAACAAATTACTTTCCGTTGCTTTTAGGATAAAAACAAAAGTCCTTCCATGACCCACGTGGCCCCACCTCTCCAGGCACATCTCATTCCCTCTCCCCTCACCTCTCACTCTCTGGGTTCAAATATCATGAACATACCATGCCCCTCCTGCTCCCAGGCCTTTATATTTAACCTGGAACAACCTCTTCTCTTACCCTAGTGAACTCCCACATGGTCTTTAGATCTCAATAAAATAATCACTTTCTCAGGAAGGCACACTCACCCCCAACCTCGATTAGGTAAAATCTCCACAGTTATAACTTTTTTTAAAGTTTATGTGATTAATATGTGGTTCCCTCACTAGACTATTTGAGTTCCACAGCGTAGGGACAGTGTTTATTGCCAATACAGTGAGCAATCGATAAATACCTGTTGAATGGCTATATGAATGACTAGGTGGCAAAGCAAAGCTCTTAGCCATTCTGAAGAGTTATTATCAGTGGCCTAAAGACTCCAAAGTCCCATCAGCAAAGTGAAATGTTTTCATGCAAAGTGAAATGATCCCCTGAATGTCACAGTATCCTGAGTTTTCTTCTGAGCTCCCCTGTTTCAATTTTTGACTTCCACAGAGGAAGTGGGGAATGGCCAGGATGAAGAGAAAGAGGGCTGGGTGTGGCTGGGCAGCTGGATAGGTAAGAGGGAGTGAGATGGGGGTGGAGAGCCTTTGCCTTACCCTGGTATGTCCCAACAAGTTCACAGGTGTGTTCCAGAATGAAAAAGAGTTAGGCAACCCTATAAGTAAACATGGGTCAGACTATAGATGGAAAAAGTCTTTGAACCCAAAAATGGGTAGCCTTGCTCGTTTAATGATCAGAGAATCTTATTTCGACAGTATAAAATCAATGCTGCAACCTATTAGAAAATAGAGTAATTCAGAGCAGCCATAGTAGTTAGCATTTAACTGTGTGAGTAAAGATTTAATGATGAAAACGACAGGTGACAACAGAATATATACTGCATTGTACCATTTATATAAAGTTAAAAGCATGCAAAATAATATTACATGTGATTTAGGGATATTTATAAGGCCATGTGTAGTAATAATAAGCACTAAAGTCCGAACAGTGGTAACTGGTGAGAGGAGGAAGAAGGAGGTGAAAGTATAGAGAGAGGCAACTCTATGTGTAATGTTTTATTTTTTAAGCCAAATAGATTCATAGTATGCATTTTTTTATTGTTTTATTGCTTAAAGTATTACAAAGAGTATTACATATGTCTCCTTTTTTTCCCCGCCCTTGACAATCCCCTGGCCTCCCCTACCCACCGTGTCTTATGTCCATTGGTTATGCTTATATGCATAACAAGTCCTTCGGTTGATCTCTTACCCCCCTGCCTCCTGCCCCCCAACCCTCCCCGGCCTTCCCGCTGTAGTTTGACAGTTTGTTCGAGGCAGCTCTGCCTCTGTATCTATTTTTGTTCATAAGTTTATAATGGTCTTTATTATCCATAAATGAGTGAGATCATGTGGTAATTTTCCTTCATTGACTGGCTTATTTCACTTAGCATAATGCTCTCCAGATCCACCCATGCTGTTGCAAATGATAACATAGTATGCATTTTTAAATATACTTTATTGATTTCAGAGAAGAAGGGAGAGGGAGAGAGAGAGAGAAACGTCAGTGATGATAGAGAATCACTGATCAGCTGCCTCCTGCATCTCCCACACTGGGGATCGAGCCCGCAACCCGGGCATATGCACTTACCGGGAATCGAGCCATAGATTGATGTTCAACCTCTGAGCCATGCTGGCTGAGCGTATTATTCTTTATATATTTTTTCATATCTTAGGTACTAATAATTTAAAATTTTTAAGTAAAAATAAAAAAAGAGTCATCTTTCAGTTCAAAAGAAAATCAAAGGGTCATCACAGGAATACAAGTAACCCCGGATTTCTTGTATAATTTAAGCTAAAGGCATAATCAGAAAACCTGAACAAACTTCAAAATTCAAAAACCTCCCTTTGATCATCGCCGAGAGTCCAAGTTAAGTGGTAGGAATTATCATCAGTAAAATTTATGCTGTCATGCACAGTTGGGGTTGTCTAATTAAAAGGACAAAAGGGAAACTAGGGGAGGGAGGGGGTAAGGGGGAGAGATCAACCAAAGGACTTGTATGCATGCATATAAGCCAAACCAATGGACACGGACAACAGGGGGATGACAGCATGAGTGGGTGGGGGGTGGGGCGAGGAGGTTGGGGATTAATGGAAAATGAGGACACATTTGTAATACCTTAACCAATAAAGAAATTTTAAAAAATGAAATAAATAAAAAAGGACAAAATATAGACTAAGGTGCTTTTATCAAGAAAAGGTGGCTGGCTCAGCAAACAGAGAGCACTGAGTGAGGACAGCTGCAGTAGCAGTGGTAAAAGGACTGAGGCCCCACTAGCTAAGGATTCTGGAGTTCTATTGCACAAAGAAGGCCACCTGAACGGTGTGAGATCCACAAAGAAGGCTGTTAAAAGGAAACACAGGGAGTTCATATAGGAGTAGCCAGAGAGACAGGGGGGAATGCAGACCCATTCCCCAGGCTGGAAGCCAACCTGCAGGACTACACTCAGAGATGAAGGCAGCTAAACAGGGATGAGTAGACCCTGGGCAAAGGTGACACTGTGCCAACAGTGAAAGAAAAGTACTTCCTTATAATCCCAATCTTCCAAAATACATTAAAATAGAAAGATTTTATGAAAGGAGAGTTTCCAGGAGAGAATGGCAGTTAGGCCAGCAGTCCTCAGATCCTTTGCTGCCTCTCCTTTTGTCTTCCCCAGTATCACCAGCACAGCTGCCATTATGCCTTATTGGCTCAATATTGACTCAGCTTCCCTAAACATAGACAAAATTTCTCTTTAAAATCCTCATTGCATCCAGTTAGAGATAGGAAAGTGGCTAAGAATCTAAGGAAAATTAAACACACACACACACCAAGAAAATATTAGAAATATAAAAATAGCCTTAACCAGTTTGGCTCAGTGGATAAAGTGTTGGCCTACGGACTAAAGGGTCCCAGGCTCAATTCCAATTAAGGGCACATGCCCAGGTTGCAGGCTTGATCCCCAGAAGGGGGCATGTAGGAGGCAATCAATGATTCTCTCTCATCATTGATGTTTCTATCTCTCTCTCCCTCTCCCTTCCTCTCTGAAATCAAGAAAAATATATTTTAAAAAAGAAATATAAAAATACATTAAGAAGTACAATTTAAAAGGCAGGTATTTTTAGATATATTCAGCACCTTGACAATGATGAGATTTCAAGCTACACAGGAGAGGTTAAAAGTAACCTCAAGGATAATTACCTGGATCTGTTACCTTTGTGATCATATTTTTAAAAGAATAGTTTATTTATTTTTATAGAGAAAGGAAGGAGAGGGAGAGAGAAAAACAATAATGTGAAAGGGAAACACTGATCCACTGCCCACTGCATACCCCCTACCAGGGATCGAGCTCACAACCCCGGCATGTACCCTGACCAGGGACAATGCCCAACCAACTGAGCCACACCAGCCAGGGCACCTTTGTGATCATTAATCAGCTTGTACACAGATGCCTGCACTCTCCTCCATATGTGTGTTATATTTCAGTAGAATTTTTTAAATTAAAAAAAAATCTCCAGGATGGAGTATTCCTTCCTTCCTTTCCTTACCCACTCCCCCATGCAGCCCTTTCCTGTCCCTCACAAGATTTGATTTTGCAAGGACATAATTCCCCTACTTCAAATAAAGAGCTGTTTTCTAATCATTGAAGCTGTGCCTACACCCTTTTGCATCCCCAAAACCTATGGAGGGATGGGAGGTGAATACTCCACCCCCACTGCATCTCCAACTGTTAGCCTCAGTACATTCCAAATTCAGGAGCTTATCCTCCAAATTCACAACTCTCTAAGCACATTAAGGGGATACAGATTTTTATCACTCTCTAACAAATCACCTGCAGCTTTCTCACATGAATTCTTAGTTTTAAACAGGAAGCAAAGGACAACTAGACGAGCATTATTTTTGTCAAGTAAGGGAGATGTAAAGTGTCATGAGAGTCAACTGGTCATAATCAATCAGCATTCATATTCTACAGGCTAACAGTTGGAGATGGGGCGGGGATGGAGTTCCCCCTCTCTGCATCACAATTTTCTGGGATGCAGTTTCATTATAGACACAGCTACATTACCAGGAATAAAAAAAGTCTCAAATCCCAGCAAGACTAAACTGCTTCCAGACTGTATGATATGGACCCATTCTGAAAAAGTGGGGAAGATTTGGAGGAAGACATGTGCCAGTACTCTATCCAAACCAACCACAGTTTATTAGTATCATCAAAATCTGCCATTCAGAATGAGTTAATTTTTGATAGTTTTTTTAAAAATATATTTTTATTAATTTCAGAGAGGAAGGGAGGGAAGAGAGAGATAGAAACATCAATGATGAGAGAGAATCATTGATTGGCTGCCTGTTGCACACCCCCTACTGGGGAATAAGACTGCAACCGGGCATGTGCCCTAGACTGGAATCGAACCCGGGACCCTTCAGTCCGCAGGCTGATGCTCTACCCAATGAGCCAACCTGGCTAGGGCAATTTTTGATGCAGTTTAAATGACATTCTTATTCTGACCACAAAACAAAATATTCCTATAGGCTGAATTCTGAGGATGAAGAAACAAAACTATTCCAAAATTTAACTTGGTGCCAATGATAACAGAATGTCTTGTGTGCTAAAAAACAAGGTAGTGACAATTAGCTCATTTGGTTTTTGGTCTCCCTCTTTAAATTACACAGAGAAAAAATTCAAAAACCTCTATATGTTTTCATATAAATTCAGAAATAAATTATTGGTGCATGAAGCCAACAATATTCTTCTTGATGTTTCTGTCACATAAACCAGTAAACTCGCCCGGCCCATGTAGCTCAGTGGTTGAGCATCAACCTATGAACCAGGAGGTCATGGTTCGATTCACACACACACATGTATACACACATTGGTAGGTAAAGACATGGACCTATTTTTTTTTTCTCTAGTCTATTACATTGAAAAATTTCAAACTACAGAAAAGTTGAAAAAAAATTCAATAAAACACCTAGATCCATCAACTGTTAACATTTTTTGTTTCTTTTTTAAAAAAATCTTTACCTAAGGACATGCATAGAGAGAGAAAGTGGGGGCAGAGAGAGAAATATCTGTTGGTTGCTTTCCACAGTGCCCTGACCAGGAATTGAACTGGCAACCTTTCAGAGCACAGGTCAACACTCGACCTACTGAGCCACTCTGGCTGGGCAACTGTTAACATTCTGCCACATTTTTAAAATCTCTCTATACACACAAAAACATATTTTTTTTCTGAACCGTTTGAAAGTATGTTGTGGATATCATGACCCTTCACCCCTAATATTTTAGCATATAACTTCAAAAACAAAGACTATGGTTTACATACACAATTTATCTCGGAGAAGAAAATAATCATTGTTAATTTGTCTCTGAATTCCTCTGCTTATGAATCTCATGCTCAGTTTACTAGTATCATCTCTGACCTTCCAGGGAATCTTGTTAAAGCATTTCATCTCACCCATAAAATTTTCCCCCCGAGCTTTCTTGAAATATAATAGACATATAACATTGTGTAAGTTTAAGATATGCAATACAATGATTTGATATACATATATAGGGTGGGCAAAAGTAGGTTTATAGTTGTGAGTACAAGAAAATTTATTCTTGTTCTTATTTATTAACTAGTGGCCCAGTGTACAAAATTTGTGCAGGTGGGGGGGGGGGTGTCCCTCAGCCCAGCCTGCACCCTCTCCAATCTGGGATGTCCAACTGCTGGTTTAGGCCCGATCCCTTTTATTACTATAGATTATTGTATTATTTTCCATATGAACTGTAAACCTACTTTTGCCCACCTTTATATATTGCAAAATGATGACCACAATAAGGTTAGTTAACACATCTATCACCTCACATAATTAATTTTTGTAGTGAGAGCATTTAAGATCTACTCTCTTAGCAACTTTCAAGTATACAATACAACATTGTTAACTACTGTCTCTATGCTATAGGTATATTCGATTCCCTAGAAGTTACTTATTTTATAACTAAAAGTTTGTACCCTGTGACCAATAATCCCCTTCCCCCATCCCCAATAACCACCAATCTACTCTGTTTCTATGAGTCTGACTTTTTAAAAGTGAAATCATACAGTATTTGCCTTTTTTTCTCTGACTTACTTCACTTAGCATCCACATAGTCACATGCTCCATTAGTTTAAGATATATACTCCCTGCTCTTAGTGTTACTAAGTCTCTAAAATGTAGTTCTTAATCATTTAGGGGAGGAATTAAGGACTCTTTGAGCACTGTTAACAACTATGGACTCTCCACATGAAAAAGAATGACATATGCACATACATATACAAATTTTCATACCATCTCAAGGGTTTTATAGACCTAATAAGGGACCCCAAGTAAAAAACTCTCAGTCTAGATATTTTAACAGTGTCTTTGAGGTCCAAAATTCTAGAATTCACTAGCTTTATTTGTTACTGATGACCAGTGCTACAGAAAGGCAGACTGCTATTTCTGGTTCTATTACTTGGTAACAGAAGTGAAAATGAACCACAAACAGACAACACTAATGGGATGCAGCCTTCTCTCACCCTGGTCTAAATCTTCTCAGTGGCTCTCAGCCAATCAAGGAGGACTGCAGCCAACTTTTAAAATAACTACATAGATAGTACACATGGTTAATCTGTTAACTCTCTCAGAACCAAGGAAAATGAAAATAGTCCCACTATACAATTCTCCTTGGCTATTACATATGGATTAAAACTAAAGTTTGCATCAACACTTTCAACAGCTGTTTAATACATGCCAATTTTTCGAATTAAGATTGCTCTCTGCAGGGAAATAGAAGCTACACTGGGAATCCAATTTTACCTCAGATAGGCATAACACAGTGAGTTAAAAGCTATAATTTTCCTCTGTGAAAAAACACACAAAACAAAACTGGTGAAAGGTATGAAATAATTTTTTAAGGGTCCTCATTAATATAATTGTAGTTCAATTCCACATCCTTCAAAAAGTCTGAACTGGCACAGGTGAGAGGATATTAAGCTACAAAGATTAAGCGAACCTTTCTCTATCTATTAGTAAAGCTATCTTGTTCGGCTGTTGCAGGACTGGCTGAACAAACCAGAAGCTGCACTCCCACTTCTTAGTGTCTTAAAACATGTTGGATCCTTAAGTACATGCATGACTTTTGATCTTTTTAATAACAGATACCAGCAGGTTACCAGATTCTACTAGTTTTGTCCAACACACTGACTACTCACCACAACTTTATTGAAGTCCTGGATTGCAAAATACAGGGCAATGGCAGTGAGTGCATCAGTTATCTGTCAAGAGAAAGAGTAATAACAGGAAATGAATCCAATTAGTGTGGGAGTAATGGAATGCTACTAGGGTCTGAAGTTTTGTAAGGCGGTGGACTATCCAGAACTGACTTCTTAAAGTCAGGCAGAACCTCAGCCCTCACTTTGACTACCCAAAGAGAAAGCCTTTTCAGGGAGGTATGACTGGAAAACTTGCTCTGTAATTGCAAGTTACTAAGTTTTCTGTAAAGTGGAAATAAAACCCACTGCTTTGTAGGCCTGATGTATGTCAAGTGCCTAGAACAGAGTAAGTCCTCAATAAATAGCACTCATTATAATTATTAAGGAAGAGCTCAATGGACCTCCTATTTCACCCAGATTTTCAACCCTAGATTAAGCAGGTGTTTCAAATTACTATGCTCTCAAAACATAGCCCTGTCTTCTCAATTTCTTACCCCTGAAAGTCTCACCAGGCCTAAGTTCTTGTCACAGAATCTCTTGGCAGAATGCTTAGGACACTGAGGATATCTTCAACACTGGCACCATAATGAAAGCCAATCATAGAATCCTGGAGCTAGAAAATTCAAGGCTACACAGTTCACATATGAAATTTTAAACGTATAAGAAATTAGAACTGGTCAGATGTCATAAACTACTCTTCATACTTCCATAATACAGTTGACCTTGAACATCTTGGGTTTGAACTGCATAGGTCAACTTATACGCTGATATTTTTCAGTAAATATTTGTACTGTTTTCCATCCAGGGTTGGAAGTCCACAGATGCATAAGGCCAACTATATGCATTGATCTACATCCTTTTATATAGGGGACTTGGGCACCCAAGGACATTTTTTTATATCCATGGGGTGGCAGGGAAAGGGTGGAGAGGTTGTCCTGGAACCAATGCCCCTGGATACTGCGAGACAACTGTGTGCGGGGTTGGCACCCTTAACCTCCTATTGTTCAAGGGTCAAATGTAAAATTACAGTTCCATGAATCCAAATTAAAAATACGTTTTTGGCCGAAACCGGTTTGGCTCAGTGGCTAGAGCGTTGGCCTGTGGACTGAAAGGTCCCAGGTTCGATTCCGGTCAAGGGCATGTGCCTGGGTTGCGGGCATATCCCCGGTGGGAGATGTGCAGGAGGCAGCTGATCGATGTTTCTCTCTCATCGATGTTTCTAACTCTCTATCTCTCTCCCTTCCTCTCTGTAAAAAATCAATAAAATATATATAAAAAAATAAAATACGTTTTTGCTTTTATATTCTAAGAAACTCCTGGGCTCCTGAAATAGATTTTTTCTTACAAACAAAAAGATTAAAGACAATAAAATTTAAAATATATACATATTCATTTTATGTGGAAGGTTGCTTACCATAAATACCAATTCAGCATAGTCAATCAGGAAATGAAAGAGGTATATTATTAATGGAGTCTGCAGGAGAAAAACAAACAAGCAAATTAACATAAGTCTTACTATTATCAGTTTCCATAGTAGGGGGTGGGGTTAGAAGCTAGCCTGTCAGTAACAATGTCTTTTTTTCCTAGAATACTGTTCTATGCTAGCTGGCCAGTGTACATATGAGGGAGAATAAATTTGTATCACTGGATAATTTTGTGCCACTAGGAATATCTGCTGAATTGAATAAAGAGAATAAACAAAACCCAACACGATAAATATCTGTTTAAGAAGTGTTAACACACTACAGGTATAAGGTGAACTTTAGTTCTAAGACTTATATAATAGCTTCTTTGGGTTAATGTTTACATGATATATCTTTTTCCATATTTTTACTTTCAATTTTGTGTCCTTGTATGCAAGATGTATTTCTTAAAAACAGCATATAATTATTTGTCTTTAATATTATCTGACAATGATTACCTTTTAGTTAGATTTTTAGTCTATTTACAGTTAATCTAATAATTGATTTACTTTTGTTTTAATCTTACTATTTTCCATTTGTCCCATTTTCTCTATGCTGTTGTCTCTCCTTTCTTGCTTACTTCTGCATATTTTTATTATTCCATTTTCCTCTCTATTAGCTTGTTGGTTATACAGGGTGGGCAAAGGTAGGTTTACAGTTGTGAGTATGTGAAACAGTTTATTCTTTGTTTTATCCTCACCCAAGGACATATTTTTCCCATTGATTTCTAGAGAGAGTGGAAGGGAGGGAGGAGGAGGAGAGAGAGAGAAAAATAGATGTAAAAGAGACACATCAATTGGTTGCCTCCTCCACACACTCTTACCGGGGCTGGGGAACCTACAACCAAGGTACGTGCTCTTTTTTAAAAAAAATGTATTTTATTGATTTTTTACAGAGAGGAAGGGAGAGGGGTAGAGAGTTAGAAACATCGATGAGAGAGAAACATCAATCAGCTGCCTCCTGCACACCCCCTACGGGGGATGTGCCCGCAGCCAAGGTACATGCCCTTGACCGGAATCGAACCTGGGACCCTTCAGTCCACAGGCCGACGCTCTAATCCACTGAGCCAAACTGGTTAGGGCCCGAGGTACGTGCTCTTAACTGGGAATCAAACCAGTGACCCTTCAGTCCAAGGGTGGACACTCTAACCACTGAGCCAAACCAGCCAGGGTAAGAGTTTATTCTTGTATTATTATTTATTATTATTTTCCATACAAACAACTGTAAACCTACTTTTGCCCCACCCTATATATTTAGCTACTATTCTTTCTTTTTTTTTTTAATGAAATCTTTATTGTTCAGATTATTACAGTTGTTCCTCTTCCCCCTCTCGCCCCCCCCTTCTATTCTTTCAATGGTAAACCTTCACATTATGATGTAAATCATTGGCTTTAATTAGAATATAATATAAATTATTATCTTTCCTACTTCCTAGACAATATAAAGACCTCTGAACACTTTAACTCCATATAGCTCCTCCCAGTCTTTTGTATTACTGTTGTTACAACTTTAATTCTTTTTTTTTTTTTTTTACATTTTTTAAAAAATATTTTATTATTGATTTCAGAGAGGGAGGGAGAGAGAGAGAGAGAGAGAGAAACATCAATGATGAGGGAATCATGGATTGGCTGCATCCTGCACACCTTACTGGGGATTGAGTGCACAACCCGGGCATGTGCCCTTGACTGGAATCAAACCTGGGACCCTTCAGTCCACAGGCCGACGCTCTATCCACTGAACCAAGCCAGCTAGGGCTTACAACTTTAATTCTATATATAAAAAACCCACAAGACATTATTTTATACAATAAATATTTACGTAGATTTACCCACATTTTTACCATTTTCATTGTTATTTACTCATTCCTATATTTCATGATGCTGTAAAGGACATAATCCTTCTGCTCTTTTGTATTATTTTAATGCAACAGTCTTGGCAACAAATTCTATCTATTTTTAATTTTTTTTTTTTTTTTTTTTTTTTTTTTTTTTTTTTTTTTTTAGAGAGAGAAACACTGATTTGTTGTTTCACTTATTTATGCATTCATAGGTTGATTCTTGTATGTGCCCTAATCAGGATCTAACCCGCAATCCTGATTTTTTGGGACGATGCTCTTTAACCAACTCAGCTACTCGGCCAGAGCCTTATCAGTTTTCATTTGCTTGAAAGTCCCTTTATTTTGCCTTCATTTCTGAGAGATATTTTCACTTAATACAGAATTCTATGTTGGCAGACAATTCTAACTCTCCATTGTCTTTTGAATTCCACCACTTTTGTTGGTGAAAAGTTAGTTTCCATTTTACTATTCTTTGGCTACTTTTAATATCTTTGGTTTGGGGCAGTTTTTATGATGTATGCTTTCCTTTTAATTTATCCTACTTGTGTTTATAGGGCTTTGGGATTAAAATCTCTCAAAAACATTGAAAAAATTTCCAGCCACCCCTTTAAATAGTGTTTCTGCCTCATTCTGTCTCTTTTCCCATGCTGGAACTCCATTTGTATGTATGTTAAACCTTTTTTGCTGTGTCTCATAAAGCTCTTTTTTTTCTCCGTTTTTTATCCTTTTCTCTCCAAGTTCCAATCTGAATATTTTCTACAGACCTATCTTCCAGATCACTAATCCTTTCTTTACCTTTGTATAACCTGCTATTAAAGTCTTAATTTGTTATTCTGTTTTCCACTTCTAGAATTTCCATTTGATTCATCCTTACATATTACAGTTCCCTGGTAAAATTCTCTGTCTTGGCATCTCTTTTTTGAACATATTAATTATTGGTTGCAGTTATGTATTTTAAAATCCAAATTTGATAACTCAATATCTAGATCACCTGTGAATGTTTTTATTGCTTTTTTTCCCTGCCACTTATTATGCTTAGTAATTTTGGACTGAATGATGAACATTTGTGTATGAAAAATTGCAGAGATTCTAAATGAGGCTATTTTCCTTCAGAAAGGTTTTTGTTATTTTGTGTGTGTTTTTTGGTGTTTTGTTTTTTTTAGAGAGAAAGGAAGGGAGAGGAAGAGATAGAAAAGCCAATGGGAGAGAGAGAACATCAGTCGGCTGCCTCCTGCAGGCCCCTACTGAGGGGTCAACTCGGGCATGTTTGTTCCTTGACTAGGGAATCTAACCAGTGACCTGTGGTGCATGGGTTGCCACTCAACCACTGAACCACACCAGTCAGGCCAGAAAGGATTTCTTTAAGTTCTGGCAAGCAATTAGAATAGAATTATATCACATTAATCTAATCAGGGGTTTAGCAAATTAGAAGCTGAATTCAGTCTTTACAAAACTAGTCTATAATAATATCTACCCTTCTTTCTTGAGAATAGTCCTTCAGAGGGCCCAAGTGAAAGCCAAGTCCTCTACCAGAGCCCTGCCACCTTGGTTAGCCATGCATTCAAATTCATATTCCCGAGCACCATAAGATCGCCAATAATTCCTTAACCTTCTACCAGCCAATTTCTGTTCTGTTTTTCTGCCTCTCAGCCTGTGCCTCTTATAAATTGGTAAATGCATCAAGGAGAAAGCAGCTCGGAATGTCAGTCTCACATTTTGTACTTTCTTCTCTGGAACCTCAGCCTCTTAAATCTTGGCTATCTTGGTACTTTCCAGTGACTTCAAGAAGATGTTTTTTTGTATTCATCCTGCTTTTCTAATTGTTCTATGGAGGAGGGTTGGTCTGCTACTGTAATAGGAAAGTGCATGACTTGGTTTTAGTGAGTCCATGCTGGTGACTCAGGAGCGCCTCTTCCCAAACCCAAATACACACAGAAATGTGTCCTATAATATTGTAAAGGTCATCGACAGGCTTTGTAGTGAGAACAAGCTAGCTTTGGAATCAGACACAAGTTTAAAACTAGGTTCCACTAGCTCAGCGGTTCTCAACCTGTGGGTCAAGACCCCTTTGGGGTCGAACGACCCTTTCACAGGGCTCGCCTAAGACCATAGGAAAACACATATATAATTACATATTGTTTTTGTGATTAATCACTATGCTTTAATTACGTTCAATTTGTAACAATGAAAATACATCCTGCATATCAGATATTTACATTACGATTCATAACAGTAGCAAAATTACAGTTATGAAGTAGCAACGAAAATAATTTTATGGTTGGGGGTCACCACAACATGAGGAACTGTATTAAAGGGTCACAGCATTAGGAAGGTTGAGAACCACTGCACTAGCTGGTTTGGCTCTGTGGATAGAGCATTGACCTGCGGACTGAAGGGCACATGCCCGGGGTCCAGGCTTGATCCCCAATTCGGGGCGTGCAGGAGGCAGCCGATCAATGATTCTCTCTCATCATTGATGTTCCCATCTCTCTTTCTCCCTTCCTCTCTGAAATCAATAGAAGTATATTAAAACCAGGTTTCACCTGTGTACCTTTGGACACGTTGTTTCCCCTCTGAGCCTTAGTTTCCTCAGCTGTAAAATAAGAATAGTGACCTATTTCACAGGGTTCTTGGAAGGATGAAGTGTAATTTGCACAAAGTACTTAGCATACAGTAAACCTCAATATATTAGCTACCTGAGATCAACTTTTTACCTCTTTTTGAAAATGGGGGCATCAGCTTTGCCTTTCAAAGTTCTAAAAGAATTAAGCTTTTACAACTATCTACTAATGGATTCTTTTTTCCCCATTTATCTTTGTTAGTAAAAAGTAGTAACTTGATATTTATATTACCAATAGCCTCCTTTCAAAGTGTTTTGATGTTTCAGATAGTTTAGAATGGCTCTAAATTAGTCTCAGAAATATCAGAACAAATAGTTCTCAAAAAGCCTATCAGTAAATGGGCTGGTTTCCATTATGAACTAACATATATGCAATAGTTTAACTGCATATAATACTATTATAGAGAAGCCTACACTCCCAATAAAGGTTGTTAAGTTCACAATTTAACTATCAATACTTAGCTAAACATAGAACACAGCACATCTGTTGAAGGAAGTCATTAAACCTAACCTGTGGTTGCTAAATTCCTTTTTTCTCTCCTGTACAGATTTTCCTTCTCCACTTTCACCTATTCTCACCTTTCCCTAAGAACTAAAATCTGTTGAAGATTAACAATGCAAAGAAATGATGGACTTTCTTTTCAAAAGTATTCTTTTCATTTGGCTTGACATAATTTTATTTATTTATATTTTATTACTCCAAAATACTAAAATACAGCTGGCTATAAATTTATGAACACCCAGCTTATAAGAAAAGTAACCCATAATCATGAATGAGGAGCAAAGGGCTCTGAGTTTGAAGTTGTCTCCCCTGTGTTTGAGGGAAGCAGCTGTTTTGCCCCTTCATTCAGAGTTCTTAAAAATTAACAGTCCTAGCCCTAACCGGTTTGGCTCACTGGATAGAGCATCGGCCTGCGGACTGAAGGGTCCCAGGTTCGATCCCCAGTGCGGGGTGTGCAGGAGGCAGCTGATAGATGTTTCTGACTCTCTATCCCTCTCCCTTTCTCTCTGTAAAAAAATCAATAAAATATATGTTTAAAAAAATTAAGTCCTAAAGGGATTATTTTATACATGTAAAGAATGAGTTAACATGCTTCTTCTAGCTAGAAATCACTATCTCATGCCTTTATCCTCTTTTATACAAGTGCATGTGCATACACACACACACACACACACACACACACACACACACACCTGAAAAAGAGTAACAATGTGTTCTAGCCTTCCTCATTGTATCTAAGAATGCATTTTCCCAGAGAAATGACATTTTAAACTATGGTTAAGAGATTAGACATAGCTCTTCCATTTATTCATTCAACATACACTTTCTGAAAGGACTATTTCATATCTTCCCCTCTCCTCAACCACCAACCTCCCTCCCCACTTCTTACTTTCAACCAACAAGCTCATTTCTTATTCCACTAAGAGAAGCAATTGAATGAGAACTACCTTATTTTCCTATTACCCAGTTGACCAACTTTCTATATCTATACCTATATTTTCTACCTGTCTCATATTAACAGTGATGAATTTCCTTTTTTCTTATCTAAAGCCAAATCCTCCACCTACCAACTGGATCCCATTCCTTCTTGCCTCCTCAAAGACACGGTTCATTCAATTATCATCTCTTTCTAACATTACCAACTTCTTGATCCATAGAATTATTTCCAATAGCAATTAAATATGCAGATACTAATATTTTAAAAGTCTTCATAGATATCTCCTCTAGCTACCATACCATTTCTCTGGCCTCTTTTAGAGCAAAACTCTTCACAAAGGTTGTATCTGCCTCAGTATACTTTAATCAGTCACGTCCCAATAGTCCACTGAAAATGTTGTGGCCAAAGTCTTTAAAGATCTCAATTTGGGCAAATCAATCTTCAGTCCAAATTTTCTCCATCTTGCAATAACAGTTGACACAGTTTTCACTCCCTCCTTAAAGCACTTCATTCATCTGGCTTCCATGTACTACATTATCTTAACATTCCTCCTTTTCAACTTTATTTGCTAGTTCCTCTTCACCTTCCCAACATCGATATATTGGAGTGCTCTACGTATCTGTATTCTTCTTTATGTAAATTTACTCCCTATGAGTCTTAGTGATCTATTTCTCTGTAACAAATTATCCTAAAACTTATCTTAAAACAACACACATTTATTATCTCACACAGTGTCTGAGAGTCAGGAATCCAGGAGTGGCTTATTTGGGTGGCTCTGGCACAGAGTCTCTCATGAGGTTGCAGTCTCTAAAGGGGTTTGAGTATCTGCTTCTAAGCTTACTCATTTAGCTGTTGACAGGAAGATTCAGTTCCTCATCATAAAGGCTTCTCCATAAGGTTGGTCATGACATGGCTTCCCCCAGAGCAAGTGATCCAAGAGAGAAAGAAGCTGCAGAAGTCTAAGATAGAAGTTGCAGTGTCTTTTATAACCTAATCTAGGAAGTGACACACCACCATTTCTGCCATATTCTACTGGTCACACAAACCAACTTTGGTACAATGAGAAAGAGATTACATGCTGTGAATACCAGAAGTTGGAAATCTTTAGGGGACATCTTGGATGGAAGCTGGCTATCATGCTAGGTAATGGCATCCAGTCTAATGTTTTCAAATATCATCTATAGATTGATCCCAATTTTATACCTCCAGCCTGGACCTGTCTTCTTGCATTTCACATTGGTATAACCAATTGCTTTAACACTGCCATTTGGATATCTAATAAGCACTTCAAAAGTAACATGGTAAAATCTGAACTCTTTTTCCACCCCACTAAAACCTGTTCCTCCTTTAGTATGCTTCATCTCATTAAATAACACCACCATTCACTCAACTGCTTAGGACAAAAGTCTGCTATCTTTAAAATCCTCTCTTGCCTTCATATCTTGCATCCAATTTATTAACAAGTCTACCTCTAAAAATATAACTTGAATCTATCACTTTTTAAAGAATCTAATAATTTTTCACCATATTAATTGTTACCACCCTAGTTCCAAGCCACCGTCATCCTGCTTAGACTACTGTATAAGTATCCTCACCATTTCTTCCTTGCTTCACTTCTTGCCCCTAGATTCAATTTTCCTCACAGTGTCCACAACAATATTTATCAAATATAAAATAAATATGAACACTTCTCTCCTGGTTTAAAAGTCTTTCAGTATGTAAAAGTAAAATCTACTTGCTATTGTGGACAGTGGGGTTGTTGAAAGATCTCGTGATGGCTGGGTGAAAACTTGTTCTAAAACTCACTGAAATCCCAAAATGAGATCCTTACCTCCAGGTTGGCTACTCTACCTGAGAATCCACTGCTATTGATTGGGATTACTACAAGGTCATGGGTGAAGGCCAGCTTGGCACATGGCTTTGAGAAGCTTAATGTCCTGAAGATGCCTGTGCCAGAAGATAAATAAACTGTCCAAGTGGATACTAAAGAAAAAAAAAGATGTTAAAGTTTTGCTGAGTTTTTTGTCTCCCTCAGAGATCACGACTGAAGAACATGAAAGGGCTGGAGAACATGAAGAACATAATTCCATTTGCTCAAATGACCATTGAGGACGTGAATGAAGTCCTCCCAGAAACCAAATTAAATAAGAAGTATCCCAATAGGCCTCACCAGCCAATTAAGGTTTTATAAACTTGAATCTGGGAGGAAGCTCTGGCCCTCCTATTACAAACTCTGGACATTAAAAATAATTATATTGCCCTAGCCAATCTGGCTCAGTGGATAGAGCGTCGGCTTTCGGACTGAAGGGTCTTGGGTTCGATTCCTGTCAAGGGCACATACCCAGGTTGTGGGCTCAATCCCCAGTGGGGGGCAGCAGATCAATGATTCTCTCTCATGTCGATGTTTCTCTCTTTCTCCCTCCCCCTTCCTCTCTGAAACCAATAAAAATATTAAAAATAATTATATTAAAAATGGATAGAAAATCCAAATTCCTAACCATGTCTATAAAAAGTTCTACATAATCTGGCCCCTAACTTCTTCTCAAAATTTATCTCTATTATTTTCCTCTTTGTTCATTCTGCCTTAGCAACACTGGCCATCTTTCTGCAATTCACAAATGCCAAGCTCATTCCCAAATCAGGGACCTCATATAGCTTACTCGCTTCATTTAGATCTCTTATTCAAATTTCACTTCCTTAGAGAGTATTCCCTGAACACTATCTAATATTAACATATATATGACTGTCACTCTTTCCCTTCACCCAGCTGTACTTACCACTTAACTGAAATCTCATTTTTTTAAACTTTAGCTTTATAGAGGAAAAATCAGTATAAAATACTATTTGATAAATTTTGACCTAAGAATACATTCATGAAACCATCACCACAACCTATCCACCATCCCCCAAAATTTATCAATTTTATGTTCATCCCAAAGAACCAACTTTGTTTCAGTAATTTTCTATTGTTTTTCTGTTTCCTATTTCATTTTTTTCTACTCTGATCTTTATTTCTTTTATTTTGCTTACTTTGAATTTATCTTCTTTTTCTAGTCTCTTGAGGTAGCACTGAGGTCATTCATTTGAGACCTTTCTTTCCTCATATAGGCATTGAGAACTGGAAATTTCCCCCTAAGTACCACTTTAGTGACATCCCATATACTTTTACAGGGTGTATTTTCATTTTCATTCAGTTCAAAATACTTTCTAATTTCCCTTCTGATTTCTTCTTTAATTCATGGGTTACTTAGGGATTAGTTACTTAATTTTTAAATATTTGGAGATTCTCCAGATATCTTTCTGATACCAATTTTTTATTTAGTTCCATAGTAGATAGAGAATATACTTTGTATGACTTCAATCCTTTTAAATTTATTGAGTTTTATTCTATGGCTCAGAATATAATCTATCCTGCAAATGTTTCATATACACTTAAAAATTATGTGTTTTGCTCACTGGATGGAATGTTCCATAAGTGTCAATGCAGTCAAGTTGGTGGAAAGTGTTTTTCAAGTCTTCTATATATCTGCTTATTCTATTAATCATTGAGAGAAGAATATTTAAATCTCTGACTATAACTGTAAATTTGTCTATTTCTCCTTGCAGGTCTATCAGTTTTCATGTATTTCAAAACTCTGCCATTAAGTACATAAAAATTTTAAATTGCTATGTCCTCTTGATGAACTGACATCTTTATTGTGATGAAATGACCTTCCTTATCCCTGGTGATATTCTTTGCTCTGAAATGTTTGTTTTTTTACAAACTCACTGTCTGTTTCTTTCAGAAATATAAGTACCATGAGGCCAAGGGTTGTATTTTGTTCTGTATCCCCAGCACCTTGCAGCATAAGCTGGCATTTGGTATATATTTAACAAGTTTTTATTAAAGGAAGAGAGAAGGGAAGGAGGGATTAGAATACACATGCAGATATAGAGCTACACACTAGTATTAAAAAATAAATGAAAAGGTGCCAGTACTTGTTCTGACGAGCAAATATTATAATGGGCAAAACATGTACAAAGGTAATTTCAAGAGTGTGATATGAGCCGAAACCAGTTTGGCTCAGTGGATAGAGCGTCAGCCTGCGGACTGAGAGGTCCCGGGTTCGATTCCGGTCAAGGGCATGTACCTGGGTTGCGGGTACATCCCCGTTGGGGGATGTGCAAGAGGCAGCTGATGGATGTTTCTCTCTCATCGATGTTTCTAACTCTCTCTATCTCTCTCCCTTCCTCTCTGTGAAAAATCAATAAAATATATTAAAAAAAAAAAGAGTGTGATATGAGTCATAAAAAGGATAAGCACAAGATATTTTGCAAAATACAGGAGGAACATCAAACCTAGTCTAAGGTGATGAGTGATGGCTCCTGGAAGGGTAAAACTTAAGCTAATATCAGAATAGAGAACAAACCCCCTCAAAAAGGAAGAATGGCCCTCCATAAGGAGACAATGGCATGAAAAAGATACATAGATAATATGGTGCTGGAGCATAACGAAAGTATGTCAGGATTCTCTCAGGGGATTCCTAGTCTGTCTAGAAAACATACTGCCCAGGGCCTATAGCACCCAGAGCCCTCCTGGCTAGTGGGCTACTCTCTGGTATGCCCATACAACCTGTTCCCAATAACTGAACTGTGTGCTTATTCTCTTAAATTATTCCTAACCTACTTCTGCTAGTAGTTCTTGTTATTATGGTTTGATTCGATAGCAATACAAAGATAATGAATTATGAATGCAAAAGACAATTGTTATCTCCATGAGAACTAAGTTGAATAATGCTTTAGGAAATGAGATGAAAGAAAAAAAATAGTGCTCAAAGTAGGTATTAGGGAGACATCTGTAAAATTTGGGGATTAAATGGTCAAATTAGAAAACTTCTACTTTAAAATAATATGGTCAATAAGAATAGGAAGGCCCTAACTGGTTTGGCTCAGTGGATAGCGCAGGGGTGGGCAACCCCTGGCATGAGTGCCAAACATGGCACGCCAGTAACTTTTTCTGGCACGCGAAACCCTCTCTTATAATCTTCCATTTACAATTTTTTTCTTAATATCGACTTCTTTATTTGTCAGATAAATTCAGTGTAGTTGCATCTTAGATAAATAAATAATTTTACATAACAAGTTATCTTAAAGACCATAGACATGGATTGACGAGAGAGGGGAAGAGCAATGCCTCTCCCTTAACTCTCCCTGCCTTCCTAGATCCGACCAGTGTTTTGGTTTCATCCACATACGTTTGTGAATCTTTGTTCTCAGTGATGAATTTTGTTAAGTCTCATAATAGGAGTAGCCTGATGGATGAAAGTAGTAGCTCGTGCATATCTCTGAAGGTCACGAAATATAAACCTGATGTAAAATCTCTGTCATCAGTGATGCGGCAGCAAAAGTCCCACTGATAATATCAAATGGAGTCATAAAGTTTTCTGTCGGACTATCAGTGTACATGTATACATTAAAAAATAAATGTATTTTTCATCATCATATACTGTGTTTTTGTCGCTCGAATGAATTTTATTATTTCTTCAAGGTTCTTCACATATGTACACCTTAAGAGATATCAAGTAGGCGTAACATGTTCTCAAAAAATTAGGGTTGGCACACAGAAGAATTTTGAGTCAGAGATTTTGCTGGTTTTGGCACGCACTCACAAAAAGGTTGCCCACCCTTGGGATAGAGTGTTGGCCTGTGGACTGAAGAGTCCCGGGTTTGATTCGGGTCAAGGACATGTTCCTTGGTTGCAGGCTCCAACCCCAGTAGGAGGCATACAGGAGGCAGCTAATAGATGTTTCTCTCTCATCGATGTTTCTAACTTTCTATCCCTCTCCCTTCCTCTCTGTAAAATAAAAATAAAATAAAATAGGAAGGGAAGAATGGAAAGAAATATGGTTGATGTGGTAAGTAGGGCCCACCAGGCATTATGCCCCAAAAGGTGTTTGAATTTCATCCTGAGGTCAATGGTGAGCACTCAAAGGTACTAAGCAGGACAACGATAAAATCAGATTCACATTTTCCAAAGATGGCTCTGACTGCAGAATAAAGGAGCAAGATGATGCAGAAAGACTTGTCAAGCCCGGCAGGCGTGGCTCAGTGATTGAGCATTTACCTATGAACCAGGAGGTCATGGTTCAATTCCTGGTCAGGGCACATGCCCAGATTGTGGGCTCAATCCCCAGTAGGGGGCATGTAGGAGGCAGCCAATCAATGATTCTCTCATCATTGACGTTTCTTTTTTTCTTTTTTTTTAATTTTATTGATTTTTTACAGAGAGGAAGGGAGAGAGATAGAGAGAGTTAGAAACATCGATGAGAGAGAAACATCAATCAGCTGCCTCCTGCACATCTCCTATTGGGGATGTGCCCGCAACCCAGGTACATGCCCTTGACCGGAATCGAACCTGGGACCTTTCAGTCCACAGGCCGACGCTCTATCCACTGAGCCAAACCAGTTTCAGCATCATTGATGTTTCTATCTCTCTCTCCCTCTCCCTTCCTCTCTGAAATCAATAAAAGTATATTTAAAAACAAATGCTAAAAAAAAAAAAAAAAAAAAAAGATTTGTCAGGTAACCCAAGCAAGAATGGTGAATTAAGAGTGATTTTATTATTCTTACGAACTAATTTTATGGGTTAAATAGACTTTTATGGGCTTTCTAAGAAACCAACATTGCTATCACAATTTTCATGGGAAAACATGTTCCAAAGAACCAATTACATGCCAATTAGCATACAACCTATTCAGAAACTGGGAACTGTTTATAATTCACTTGCCATTAAAAATGGTAACCTCTACAGAAGTCTCATGTGCCTCCCCAAAGTCCAATCTTAATATGGATCATTTCTACTGCAACCATGAAAACTTCTTATGTGAAGGACATGTACAAAAGGGCTATTTCTAAATATGATTTTCAAAAAATAGATCTTTTTAAATGTTTGTACTAACTGGAGGCTAGGCTTTGGTATTTGTGGCTATAAATTACTCTTAGTACCCATAAAAGAAAACAAGAACACTTACTTCATGAAATACTGCTCCTGAATATGGAGACACTCCCAAGTCCAACAGTGAGAGGCCTTCAACCACTGAAAAGTAAGACATCCAAGTTCATTTTACTTCAAAGACATATGCAGATGGCCATAAGCCAGTGTTAGATACTCCCAGGACAAAAAAAAAAAAGGCCTTATAGTTTATCTAAACCCCTTAACTTATTCCCAGAAAGTGGGTCTAAGTCTTGATTTGAACATTTCTGATAATGGGGAGCTTTCTTCCATACAGTATCCCTTTCCCTGTGGCAAACCACTCATTATGGGAACGTTTTATATTAAACTATAAATTTCCTTTAATCTCCTTGTAACTTCCACCTACTTTAAACTGTTTCATTTATGTATATTCTGCTCCATTTCAAAACACAGTAAGATAACAAATTAGAAACTTGTGAGAAACGTTGCTCATAGGTGGTGAAATGAGCAATCACTCACAGTGGTTCGCAACCTTCCTCCTGCCGCGCCCCTTTAATGCAGTTCCTCATGTTGTGGTGACCCCCAACCATAAAATTATTTTCGTTGCTACTTCGTAACTATAATTTTGCTACTGTTATGAATCATAATGTAAATATCTGATCTGCAGGATGTATTTTCATTGTTCGCGACCCACAGGTTGAGAACCGCTGCTTATGTGCTTTGTTTGACATTTGCATTAATTTTTCTTCAATATGTACCTTTTAAGTGTATGCTCTTTGACTCAGAAATGATTGTTCTCAGGGCAATTTATCCAAAGAAGAAAGTTCATTACCATGCTCAAGAGTGGGGAAAAATTAAAAATAATCCCAATGTCCATTAATGGAGATTTATTTAAATTGCTATCATTTCTGACTCACTTACTTCAGCCAGTATCATCACTGTTCTTCGTATTATTGAAACTCAAAATCTTAGAATTAGCCATTTTGACTTTCATCACTGTGCTAAGAACTTCAACATGGATCATCTAATTTAATGGGGTACATATTATAACTTCCTATTTTATAAATGAGAAAGCTGATGTTGGAGATCATACAGATAGTAAGTGGCACAGGCAGAGAGGGACTAAAACCCTCTTTAAGATCCCAGACCCTGTGCTCTTTATTTTTTTTCCCCTTTATTGATTAAGGTATTACAAATGTGTGCTTATCCTCCCATTGCCCTGTGCTCTTAATGACCATACTACATTGCCTCATCTTGGATCCTTCACCCTGTCAATCCTATAAGCAACCAGATCTTATGGTTTCTTTTCTTCAATATCTATATATATAAAAGCCTAAGCGACTGAACGACCAAACGACTGGTCGACCGGTCACTATGATGCCCACTAACCACCAAGGGGCAGACGCTCAACACAGGATTTGCCCCCTGGTGGTCAGTGCACTCCCACAACCAACCTCCCACGGTCCTTCCCCCTGCCAGCCAACCTCCCTCAGGCCTTCCCCCAAGCCAACCTCCCATGGCCCAGATTGGCCCCTATTGCTGGCCAGGCCGAGGGACCCCACCCGTGCACAAAGTCGTGCACTGGGCCTCTAGTTTATTCAATAAGTAGTTAACTATGCAATTACTCTATGCCAGACACAAAGAATTCAAGGATGACTAAAACAGTTCTAATCTTCAAGGAACTCATAATACAGTAGAGAAACTAGATATAAACAAAGAATTATGATATAAAATGAGAAATGCTCTTAAGCCCAGCCAGCATAGCTCAATGGTTGAGAGTAAACTTATGAATCAGGAGGTCATGGTTCAATTCCTGGTTAGGGCACATGCCTGGGTTGTGGGCTCAATCCCCAGTGTGGGGCATGCAGGAGGCAGCCGATCAATGATTCTCTCTCATGACTGATGTTTCCATCTCTCTCTCCTCCCTTCTCTGAAATTAATAAAAATATAAAAAACAAAAAAAGAAATGCTCTTAATAGAGGTATGTATAAACTGCTAAGAGAGCAGAGGAAGGAGGCCTAATACTGCCTTGGGTCTTATGGTATCCAGAGCAGGAACCAAGTGGCTTCAACAAAAAATTAAATGCAAATATTATATGCAGATATATAAAATCTAAGTTCTTACCATCCTACATACGAATTACTACTACCTTTATTACCATTTGTCACCTGGGAAACTGGGACAAATTACTTATCTTCTCTAAATCTCAGTTTCCTCAACTGTCAAATGAGGAAAATAACACCATCTAACAGAGAATAACTGGAGGATAAAATGAGGCTTATCATAATCTCTATTATACAGTATTTTTATTTATTTATTTACTTATTTTAAAAATCTTTATTGTTGAAAGTATTACATATGTCCCTGTTTTTTCCTCCATTGACCCCCTCCAGCCCACCCCCATCCCCTACCCCAGGCCTTCACCACCCTGTCAGTGTTGATGGGTTATACATATATGCATACAAGTTCTTTGGTTGATAACCTCCCACCCATCCACCCTCCCCCACCTTCCCTCCAAGATTCCGCACTCTGTTCCATGCTCCCATGTCTCCAGATCCACTCCATTCATCAGTTTATTTTGTTAATTAGATTCCACATGAGCGAGATCATGTAGATACTATAATGGTTACCATCAACAAATCAACAAATGAGAAGTGTTGGTGAGGATGCTAAGAAAAGGGAACCCTACTACCCTGCTAGTGGGAATGCAGACTGGTGCAGCCATTATGGAAAACAGTATGGAATTTCTTAAAAAAATTAAATAATGGAACTGCCATTTGACTCAGTGATCCCACTTAGAGGAATATATTCTAAGAAACCCGAAACACCAATCAGAAAGAATATATGCACCCCTATGTTCATAACAGCATAATTTACAATATCTAGGATCTGGAACCAGCCCAATTGCCCATCAGTAGACGAATGGATGAAAAAGCTGTGGTACATTTATTACCAAGGAATACTATGCAGCAGTAAAAAAGAATCTTTTACCCTTTGAGACAGCATGGAGGTACCTGGAGCATACCATGCTAAGTGAAATAAGTCAGTCAATGATATATAGTATTTTTAGAACTCTTAGCTCTAATTATTCTTTTTTTTAAAGTATTTTTACTGATTTCAGAAAGGAAGGGAGAGGGAGAGAGACAGAAACATCAATGATGAGAGAGAATCATTGATCAGCTGCCTCCTGCACATCCCTACTGGGGACTGAGCCCACATATGCCCTGACCAGGAATCCAACTCTAACCTCCTCGTTCATAGCTCAACCACTAAGCTATGCTGGCCGGGCTCTAATTATTCTTAAACACTCACTTATTATGCCATTTCCCATTCCAAAATATTTATGGGATTGCTGTGGCTGGTGTTGCTCAGTGGTTAGAGGGACGCCCGTAGACCCAAATGTTCAATTCCCAGTAAAGAGTAAATACCTGGGTTGCAGGAACAATCCCTGTCCCAAACAGGGTGAGTGTGGGAGGGAACCAATCGATGTGTCTCTCACATATCGAAGTTTCTCTCTCTGTGTCCCACCCCCACCTTTTCATTCTCTCTAAAAATCAATGGGAAAATGTCCTCGGGTGAGGATTAACAACAAAAATAAACACTAAAAATATCCTCTAGTAAGAATTGACAACAACAACAAAAAGTTTATAACATCAAAACTCTAGAATTTAAAGTTCAAGCACAGGAAGGGGACTTCTGGGGTGCTGGTAATGTTCTGTTTTTTGATCTGGGTGTTGCCCACATGGTATATACAGTTTGTAAAAATTCATTAAGCTCTACATTTATTTTCTGGGCACTGTATATACTGTACTTCAGTAAAAAAAAAATGTTTTTAAAGAAAATCTTCAAACCCTGCTTCGGACACTTCACATCTTAAGGCAGGGTTATGTGTCCGCAACGAGCAGAAACCAAAGTAACCGCTTGAGCTAAAGCTGACCCTATACCTCACATCTTTCAACATTTCTTTAAAAATAAATTATATATCTAATCTAATAAAAGACAAACATGCAAATTGACCATACCTTTGCTATGCTTTAAGCCACACCCATCAGCCAATCAGAGCGACTATATGTAAATTAACCCAACCAAGATGGCGGCCGGCAGTCACGGAGCTGGAGCAAGCAGGAGGCTTGGTTGCTCCAGTGATGGAGGAAGCCAAGCTTCCCGCCTGCCGCGGCCGGGTCTGAGCTCCACTGAAGGCAACAAAGTTTCAATTATAGAAGGTAAATAAATCCCAGAATAAAAAAAGAAAAAGAAAAAAAGGAGAGGCTGGGAGCTTCCATCGCCAGGGGGCTTGGCCAGCCTGAAAACGGCCCTCAGCCCCTCACCCAGACTGGCCAGGCAACCCAGTGGGGACCCCCCACCCTAAAGGGGGTGTGGCCTGCCTGAAAACAGTCATCAGCCTGAAAACCTCCATGGGGTGAGGGTCCCCACTGGGGGGGGCTTGCCCAGCCTACAAACAGCCATCAGCCCCTCACCCAGGCTGGCCAGGCACCCCAGTGGGGACCGCCACCCTGAAGGGGGTGTGACCAGCTGCAAACCCCCATCAGCCCCTAACCCAGGCTGGCCAGGCACCCCAGCGGGACCCCCACCCTGATCCGGGACACCCTTCAGGGCAAACCAGCCAGCCCCCACCCATGCACCAAGCCTCTATCCTATATAATAAAAGGGTAATATGCAAACTGACCCTAATAGCAGAAAGACTGGGAATGACTGGTCACTATGACACACACTAACCACCAGGGGGCAGACGCTCAATGCAGGAGCTGCCCCCTGGTGGTCAGTGCACTCCCACAGGGGGAGCTCTGCTCAGCCACAAGCCAGGCTGGCGGCTGCCAGTACAGTGGTGGTGGTGGGAGCCTCTCCCGTCTCCTCAGCAGCACTAAGGATGTCAGACTGCAGCTTAAGTCTACTCCCCGCTGGCAAGTGGACATCCCCCGAGGGCTCCCGGGCTGCCAGAGGGATGTCTGACTGCCAGCTTAGGCCCAATCCCCCGGGGAGCGGGCCTAAGCCAGCAGGTGGTCATCCCCCGAAGGGTCCCAGACTGAGAGAGGGCACAGGCCAGGCTGAGGGACCCCCCCTCCGAGTGCACAAATTTTTGTGCGCCGGGCCTCTAGTGTGTGTGTGTGTGTGTGTGTGTGTGTGTGTGTGTGTGTGTATATATATATATATATATATGACTAGAGGCCAGGCACACGAAATTCGTACATGGTACAGTCCCTAGGCCTGGCCTGTGATCAGGGCCATCTTCCCCAGCTGCCTGCAGCCGGCCCCACACACGGCCGCCACCCACCCCGGTTCTCTGTTTGCCATCGGGCGATTGTAGCCTGTCGGGCGGGGGATGGGACTGAGAGGTGGTCAGCATGCCTCATAGTGACTGGTCAAGCGGTCGTTCTGGTTGTTCCGCCATTAGGGTCAATTTGCATATTATCCTTTTATTATATAGGATATATATGTATATATACACTGAGTGGCCAGATTATTATGACCACCTGATGTTTGTAGGCAAATTATAATTTTGCGCTGAAGTTGCTAGAGGGCCAAGACCATTATAAATAGGGAAGGAGGTTGTTTACCACGACAGTAGAAGTGATTTTTTTTCTGAAGATATTGGTAAACAACGCAATTTAACAGCCTTTGAACATGGGATGATTGTTGGCACTCGGAGACATGGAGCGAGTATCAGCAAAAACAGCCGAAGGCCTGTTCAAACACCTTTTCTGTCTGCAGTTACCAAGATAAAATGTCTCCAATTCGCACAGGACCATGAGGATTGGACAGTCGAGCATTGGGAAAAAGTCATGTGGTCTGATGAATCATGTTTCCAGTTGCATCATGCAGATGGCAGAGTGAGAATTTGGCGGAAACAGCAGGAAAGCATGCACTCCACTTACATGAGTACACCCCTTCAAGCTGGTGGGGGCAGTGTTATGGTTTGGGGCATGTTTTCCTGGCATGATTTGGGCCCTTTAATTCATGTGGAACAATGTCTGAATAGCACAACATACCCAAGTATTGTTGTTGATCAGGTTCATCCTATCGTGTTGATGGCGTATCCCAATGGAGATGGCTTCTTCCAACAAGACAATGCGCCATGCCATGGTTCTCGTATTGTGCAGGAGTGGTTTCAAGAATATGAGGGAGACTTTACCCTGCTTAGGTGGCCCCCACAATCACCAGATCTCAATCCAATTGAGCATTTGTGGGACGAAGTTAAAAGAGCCATCAGGCAGCTGGTTCCACAACCATCAAATCTCACAGAGCTGGACAGTGCTATTCATCAGGCATGGTGTCAGATTCCTCGCATCACCTTTCAACATCTTGTGGAGCCAAGAATCGCCGCAGTATTGAAGGCAAAAGGTGGCCCAATGAAGTACTGATGGGGTGGTCATAATAATCTGGCCACTCAGTGTATATATATGAATGTATGTAACCCTATGTTCATAACAACACAATTTACAATAGCGAAGATCTGGAAACAGCCTAAGTGCCCATCAGTAGATGAGTGGATAAAAAAGCTGTGGTACATTTATACCATGAAATACTATGGAGCAGTGAAAAAAGAAGGATCCCTTACTCTCTGAGACAGCATGGAGGGACCTGGAGAGTACCATGCTAAGGGAAATAAGCCAGTCAGAGACAAGTATCACATAATCGCACTCATGTGGAATCTAATGAACAAAATAAGCTGATGAACAAAACAGACCCAGAGACATAGAAGCATGGAACAGACTGACTAATCTCAGAGGGAAGGGGGGGAGATTAACCAAAGAGCTTAAATTCATAAATGCATAACCCATGGACACAGACAATAATGAGGTGCAGGCCTGGGGGGAGTGGAGTGGAGGGGGTCAATGGGGGGAAAGGGGGACATCTGTAATACTCTGAACAATAACGATAAATTTTAAAAATAATAATAAAAAGAAAAAAGAAGAAACAGTAGGAAAAGCTGTACTGCGAGCTTAGACTGAGAGTAGACGTCTAAACACCTCACCTGGGGTACCCCCCCCCCCGCCCCTCACACACCGTCCCACCCTCCAGGGAGCACCGCCAGGGACCCCGCGTGAAATCCCAAGCCCCCCTCAATTCCCACTCCACCTTGCACGCCCTCTAAGTATCCCTTCCTCAGGCCACTTCCCTGGGTTCAAGGCCCCAGTGGGACACACCCCCTCAGCTCTCCATCCCGCCGGTAATCCCGCTCCTGGGCCCAACCCTCACCAAACAGTCCCTCGCCCCCTCCCCCAGGAAGACGCGTCCTTAGGCCCCGCCCTCCCGCCCGCGGAGGGCGCCGGAGCGGGTCAGAGCGTGGTGCTGGCGGCCACTGCCCCGTCTCCGATTCAGAGAGGCCCGGAGAGCATAGGGACCTGGCCGCCTACTCGAGCCGATGCCTCACCTCTCTTCCAAGAGCTCAGTGGGGACACCACCTCCACCCGCTCGGAGATGAACTCGGCCAGACTGGAGCGGAACAAGGCCGCCCGCACCGTCACGGCCACCACCAGCACCAGGGCCAAGGGAGCCGCCATGATAGCTGGGGCGGCGCGCCGCCGGGGAGCGATAGGCGATGCGGAAGAGCCTCAGGCCCGTGCGCCAGCCCTGTAGTTCCGCGGCCCGGAGCGCCTGGCTGCTGCAGCCGCCGCAGCTGCCTGACAGGGGACTACCACTCCCAGGAAGCCTTGCGGCCCGGCAGGGCGGGACGACGGGAAGCCGGGCGAGTCAAGCCGGTGGCGAAGGCGTGGGCGACGTCTCCAGTGACAGCTGGTGAACTGTAAAGGCGCTCAGGAGCTGGAGCGCTGCGGAGAGTAGGCAGATGAGGGATTGATCTCCGTGGGGCTGTGAGTGAGTTTTAAGGAGATGTTAGTTTCGCTCTGGTGTGTTTGTTTTTAATGCTTAAGTGTTTCTCTTTTATGTTTTTAGAGACAATTAAATATGTATTCATGTATTTGCAATTGTGTATTGAACGACATCTGTTCTCAGGCACTATATTGGATTCTGAGGATACATTTTGGCTTAGGAGACAGATGTGTTAGGCCTGCGGCCTGGAACAGTTGCTTAACCTTTCCGTGCCTCAGATCTCTCATCTGAAAAATGAACTGGCTGTTGGCTCCTACTGGCCTGCTAGAAACAACTGCGGAATGCTTAGAAATTCTCCCACTTTTAAACACAGCCATTATAAAAAATTAAATTATATAAACTTACAACTAAATAAATTATATTAAAAACAAGGTGGTATTTATTTTTGAATATTTATTCAAAACTCATCACTTCCTAATTGTTTTTACTACACTTTGTTTTAACTGTGCTCTTGAGGTGGTTTGGTATTTCACTAAGGCAAATATTGTATAACTAGAGACCCGGTGCACGAAATTCATGCATGGGGGCAGGGGGGTCCCCTCAGCCCAGCCTGCACCCTCTCCAATCCGGGACCCCTCAGGGGATGTCCGACTGCCGGTTTAGGCCCGATTCCCAGGATCGGGCCTAAACTGGCAGTTGGACATCCCTCTCACAATTCAGGACCACTGGCTCCTAACTACTCACCTGCCTGCCTGCCTGATCGCCCCTAACTGCCCCTCCTGCTGGCCTGGTCACCTCCAACTGCCCTCCCCTGCCGGCCTGGTTGCCCCCATCTGCTCCCTCCGCCAGCCTGGTTGCCCCTCACTACCTCTCTCTGCTGGCCTGGTTGCCCCACGCAGCCTGCTGCTCAGTCGTTTGGTCACCCCTCACTAACCCCCCTGCCAGCCTGGTTGCCCCACGCAGCCTGTTTGGTTGTCCGTTCAGTTGTGATGGTCACTTAGGCTTTTATATATATAGATATTGTGTACTACTGCCCTGCCCTTCCCAAATCCGTGTTCAGTGAAAACAGGTTGGTAGCTTGAAATCCCTCCTAATGGAAGTGTTTACATTACAGAAGTGAGCACACACTCCAAATCAGGGTTTTATAGTTTGGAGAGCCCTTTGATAAGAATTCAGAAGCACACCACTTCATTAATTAATGTATGAAAAGTGCTTAAATGTTAGCTATAATAATATTAAATATATGAAGAAATTTCAGATCTGTAAACAAAATGAAACAGGTTACATGATGAAGAATAACTTGGTGGAAGGGTAGTGGTAATGTTATCCATGGAAGTGGGTGCTATGAGGAAAAGAATTTCCCAGGGCCCCAGTGGGAGGATAAGGTCTTGTTGAAAGCTTTATTGATGATGTAAAATTAAGGAGGTTCCCCTCCAAGGTCCCACCATGGGAAAAGTCCAATCTTGTCTTCAGCAGCCCGGAATTTCTATTCCATATTAAAGTACAGTCCAGTCCAGCAACTGGCTAGTTTAGCTTATATTCCTAGCTGCAGTCCATTGTGTGTGGGGTCTGCACAGCCATGGGCCATGGGGCTGCTTAAACCCACATGGCAGGCGAGCACACCGGGGAGTACAGGTGAGGGGCAAAGGAGAACAAGAGCAAGAGACAAGAGAAGGGAACTCTTTGTCTGGGAATTTTAACCAGGACCTTCCAAGATTTTGCACTCTTCTGATGGGGTCTGCCCCCTAGCCAATTTATTGTTCCCCAGGCTAAACTGATAGGCAAGAGCCTTCCCTATGTCACCCAGACTTCACAGCCCATACACTCATCTCCCCCTTGGTTCCATCCCTTCCCCCACCGATCTGCAGGGAATGGACCACTGGTTCCCTGGGGAGCTTGAAGCTGTAGCTTCCTGCAGAAGCTACCTAGATGACCATGCTTATAATGTCTGGCCTCCCCTTTGCTCTCTTCCTATTATTCATATTAACTACCTAATTATGATGATAACATTAACACTGGACAGGTGATCAGGGAAGGCTCTGAGAAGAGGTGACATTTAAGCTGAGATCTAAAAGATGAGAAATTAATCAGAGCTTCCAAGCTGAGTCAGAAAGAAAGAGAACAAGTAAGGTATGGTCCAAGAAGAGAGTAGTAGAATAGAAGGTGTGGATGCAGAGGCAGATAGGAGCGAGTCAGGTAGGGACCTGTTTGCCATGGTTGGGAATTTGGTCTTCATTCAAAGTGCAATGCATGTGCCTTTGGAGAATTTTAAACAAGAAAGTGTGTGTGTGTGTGTGTGTGTGTATATATATGTATATATATATATATATATATATATATATATATATATATATATATTTAAGATCATTACATCCCCAGGATCTATACTGGGTGTTGGAGAATATTGCAATGACAAAGTTTTATTTCTTGCTTTTATGGAACTTAGAGAGCAGTTGCAGAGATGTGATAGTCTTAAGAATAACATAAATAAAAATAAAATCTCAAACCATGATGAGAGAAGGAAGAAAGAACAGGATGCTAGCTGAATGCAAAAATCAGCCTGAGAACAGATAGCTTTCTCGACCATTGGGAGGAGCAGGTCTCCATTGGGAGAGGGGATCATGAAGGAATAAAGGCACTCTCATCCTTCGAGCCCTGCTCTGCTAAGCATTGTGCCATACTTTTAACACACATTAGCTTAGTCTGTACAACCTTCTTTCCTAAAGATGTAAATGTGTAGCGTAGGCCTTGACCTTGGGTTTTTTTTTTTTTCTTTTATGTTACGCAAATACCTGTCCTAAGCTTTGATTGCCAAGGCATCCACTTCAAAGACAGCTATCTTGAATAAACACGCTGCCAGTCACACAATTAGATTAAGAGCCAGATGGCCTCCTCCTATTGAGACTCCTTTGTTTTAGAGATATTGGTTGATTTAAATAACATCATTTGGGCTACTTGTTTATTTTGCTTTCTTCTGGGGCTTTAAATTCCTGCTTTTTAAATTCACCAATAAAGTGTGAGCCCATGAGTTTTAAATTTCACCTACAAACTCTAGGCCGCTGCCCAATAAAAGCAGCCACTCAGGCCTGTGGCCTGTGAGTGTGTGCTCTCTCTCTCCTTAACCTTGCTATGTGGCCCCAGGTGTGCTGTGTAATTTTCAGGTCTTGCAAGTCTTGTAAGTAATAAACCTTATCTTTTCAAAGTTTCCTGATGGTTATTGCTAAAAGGCATCTTGAAATCATAGTCCGAACCACAAGGGCTGGTCCAGCTACAATACTGATTATTGACAGGCTGAGACCAGTACAAAACAAGTGTTGTTATTTCCTTTTACATAAAAGGAGGAGATATGCATTACATCATCTTCAAGTAAAGTATATTACATCTTGAAAAATGGAGGAGATTGAGCAAGATTAGGTAACATAGTGAAGATTGAGCAAGATTATGTAATGTAAAATGCTTAGCACATAGCAAGTGCTCAATATATACATTGTTAACTGTTTTATTATTATTTGTATTATCCTAACAAATGACTTAAAAATTCTTAGGGTTTGGATTGTCTTTGGGAAGAACAGTGATTAGCCATGATAAGTAGAAAATGTAACCCAAACCAGTGGTTCTTAAACAGGAGTGCGCATAGATCATAGACCTAAATATAAGGTCATAGAAGACTCCTAGAAAACACAAAAATACTAGTAAATCTCCATGACCTTGAGTTAGGCAATGGCTTCTTATAACAACAAAAGCACAGGCAACAAAAGAAGAAATAACTTGAACTTCATCAAAATTAAAAACTTTTGTACTCCAAAGGACACTATCAAGAAATTAAAATGGCTCTGCCAGCATGGTTCAGTGGTTGAGTGTCGACCTATGAACCAGGAGGTTATGGTTCGATTCCTGGTCAGGTCATATGCCCAGGTTGCAGGCTCAATCCACAGTGTGGGAAGTGTAAGAAGCAGCCAATCAATGATTCTCTCTCATCTTTGATGTTTCGCTCTCTCTCCCCCTCTCCTTTCCTCTCTGAAATCAATAAAAATATATTTTAAAAGAATAAAGAAAGAAAGAAAATGTGGCAGGATAGTAAGAAGCTAGGAAAATTCCTAGGCAACTGGAATGGGGAAACTGAGAGAAGAAAATTAAATAAAGCCAAACGGTTTGGGCAGCTTGTAGCCAGCTCACTAGACATCTTCCCTAACCAGAGAATACATAGCTTAAATCACCCTGGCCTGGGAAAATAAAAACAAATACCCAATTAATGACATTTGTGCCAGCTAAACCCAAGGACAGATGAAGTCTGGGGGACAAACAACAAAACCCCCAAAGCATTTGGATGGTATCACTTGAGGGGGTGGGAGGGAAGGGATGTTAGGCAGGAAAGATAGCTGCTAGGGCAGGAGGAGGGGAAGGGGAAAAAAGGGGGGAGTTTATCTCACCCATTGAACAAAGAAGCAAGCAAGATAAAATCGCAAGATGTTCTTATAAATTCTGGGGAAGGCTGCAACAATGTAAAAGGAGAACCTTGAAATCTATGAGGGGGGAGTATAAAACCCTTGAGCCCCTACCAGGTGCCTGGGGTGCTCAGACTAGCTGAGTTGTCCACTTGTGCTTTATCCAATTGTATTACGTTTGCTTGCTTTGCTTCCTTAATAAATCTGCTTGCTTTGCTTCACCACTGCTTTCTGTCACTCGTAGGAATTCTTTCTCACGAGTATGACAAGAGCCAAGGAGGGGAGAGCCATCCCCCTTTGACTTGGGTGGCTCTCTGGTAATAAAAAGACAAACCACAGAATGGGAGAAAATAATCTACAAATCATATATCTGATTAGGGACAATTATCCAGAATATATAAAGAACTCTTTACAACTCAATAATAAAATGACAAATGACCTGATTAAAAATGGACAAATGATTTGAATAGATACATTTCCAAAGATACACAAATGGCCAATAAGCATGTGAAAAGATGCTCAACATTATTAGTTATTAGGGAAATATAAATCAAAACCTCAATGAGCCCTAGCCAGTTTTCTCGGTGGTTAGAGCGTTGGCCCGCAGACTGCAGGGTCTTGGGTTTGATTCTGGTGAAGGGCATGTACCTCAGTCAGGGCCCTTGTGGAAGGCAACCAATTGATGAGTCTCTCTCATATTGATGTTTCTCTCTCTCTCTGTCTCTACCCCTCCCTTCCACTCTAAAATCAATGGGAAAAAATATCCTTGAGAAAACAATAACCTGGAGTGAGGATTAACAAAACAAACAAAAAATCCACCTCAATGAGATATCACTTTATACCCATTAGGATAGCTACAATAAAAGACTGATAACAGGTA